ATTATTAGGGAATGTAAATTTCTTAGTATAGTTTAATCTCAATAAAAAGTGGCAGGACAGCTGAATTATAAAAAAAATAGTTTAAACTTGAATAACTTTTGATCTACTGAACCAATTTGGATGATTTAATCACCAAAATGATCCTCTCAAAGAGAGGATTCGAATGAATCCAAATCATCCAATTTTATTACATGATCCCGAGATCAATAGAGTTTTGTATTATATTACTATATAGTAAATATAATACAAAACTCTATCGATCTTGAGATCACGTAATCAGAATTGGATGATTTTGGATTCATTCGAATCCTCTCTTTGAGAGGATCATTTTGGTAGTTAAATCATCCAAATTGGTTCAGTAAATCAAAAGTTATTTAATTTTAAAAATTTATTTATATATAATAATAATTATATATTACTGTATTTATATAATCTATATTATATATAATATATAAGTATAATGTAAGAATCAGGCTACCCCCCTCTCCCCTAAAATATTACATAATATCTATTACTCCCCTTACTTACTTGAGTTGTATTTTTGATTTGTAATCATTGGAGTCTATTGATATAGTTGTGTAATTATATATTGTTTTACTGATTATTGTATTTACTAATTATTATAATAATAATGTAATTATATCATTAGAGTTTATTAGAGTAATGACATAATTACATAGTTTGATTTGTAATTATTAGGGCATATTTAAAGCGAACAGGTTTTTTTCCAGATAAAATAATTTCTGTTTTTTCTGTTAACCCAACTTTGTTTAGTTTTTTTGTGCAATTTTTATATATATATTGTTGTTCCTTTTATTTTTACTTTTACTTATTACTTTTCATATATAATACTTATTTGCTTTACCTGTTTTGCAGCAAGTTCTTGATTGATTAATAAATTATTTTATCTTTACATTTATCCAAATACATTAAAACAAGTTTAAATAACAAAGTTTTTAAGTAATAAACCTTTAATATTTATCAAAATCACAAATCAAGTATTGTTGTTACTACTTGTCTAAGTTTTATATGTTCGATACTTCTCAATAAATATAGCTTTCAAAAAAAAAAAATGGTAGTTTTTCAATGTCTTCTTTTAATAAGGAATCAGAAGTTGTTATGGTGCTCAATAACTCTTTGCCCTTAAATATGGCTCAAACAAGTTTGAAGTTGAACCTGAATCAGCTATCTCTGAAGACATTAAGATTTGTCTGTTATAGAATGGGCCTGTAAGAGACAGGCCAAAAACAAGAAATTGTGAACAGATTATTAAAGGATAGGCAAAATCATATAGGTTAAAAAAAAATCTTTAGAAGAAGGAAGTGTAACTAGAAAAAGAAAGAAAGACAGCTGCAGTTTATAGAAAATTATGATAATACTTTGTCAGAGGATCTAGAAGGATTACAGTAGACAGGAAATAAGGCACAATGTTCAGTTCTCAGTGAAAACATGTTTGGTGCTTATAGCAAACAAAGTATGGTTGGTCAAAATTTTTAATCAAGCTGTATATAGGACAGAAAGGCTTTTGGCTATGAAGCTGAATTGGGACCCTGTTTTTGGAGGATATGAATGAAGGAATATTTGGATAAAGTATAAGTTTTCTAAACTATATAACCAATGAAAATACAATAAATGGTATAGAACAGAGTCATTAATAGATAAGGCCTTGGCTTCTGGTAATAGGAAATATGTGTATTTAGCAAGACAGATCACTTTGAAAAGAGACTATGTTGTTAGAGTTGCTGATGAGGATGGTTGGGAGGTTGTTTCAAAAATAACAATTATAGATGGGTCTAATACAATGTCTGAGTTGTTAGAAAGTAAATGGGAAAGTGCTAGATTGGCTATGCAATGTTTTTCACAGTCCATGAAGCCAAAAACTTTTTACTGTACTTATACTAAGCAGTTTTAATCTTCAATGTCACTTTTTCTAATAGACAACATCTCTATAGCATAAGTTCTGCAAGTACAGCCTTATGCCCAACCGGTAGGTTTTCAACCACAATTTATAGATCAGCACTTAGGGATGCCAAGCTAGTTTGGAGGTTTTATACTAGTTCCTTCGCAAATCCTTCAATCAGATCTACAACTTATGTAAGCTGGAAGACAGCAAATGATGCTGAGTATTGTTTCACTATTACCAACACAGTAGCAGTCACTTTATTCAGTTTCTTAGTGGTCTAAGAGGTTTGACAAGGGAAAAGGCTTCAAGAGTAGTGAGGTAATTTGTTTTGTATACAAAAGAAAGGGGCACTATGCGAATGAGTATAGTTTTAAAAAACATATTGGTCTGCTTTTTCGAGGAGGAAACACCCAACCCAAAAGTAGTTGACAACACTCAGAGGTGGTTGAAAAGGAATGGAGTAGGAACAGAGTGTTGTGTGACAAGAAGAATTCATGAGCAAGAGGTGGTAAAATATTAGAAAAAGTAATATAGCCATCTTGTCTAAAGTGAAATGGTTAGAAAAAGGAATTTTTTTGTTCCCAAGAAATCTTATATAGCTAGTAAATCAACTAGCTTCAAAGAACTATGGCTAAAGAACAAGTTGGAAAGGTTAGAGAAGTCAAGTATAATAGTGAAGATAGGCAGTGGTAGTATACAACTGACAGACCTATTGGAGGTGAGCCCTGTTTTTTTGGTTTCAAAACAGGGTCCCAAGAAATTTTAGCTTGTTATAGACCTAAGAAGATTGAAAAAATATTGTCAAAAAATCATTCTATTTTGAAGGTCTGGGGGCTTGCTGTAAACAATCGAGTGAAGCTGATAATCAATTTTATTTGATCTCAAGAATGGTTGCCACTATGTTTTAATGAATAGCAAAGCTCAAAGATTGCTAGGATTTATAGTCGAGAAGAGTTGGTACAGATACAAGGTGTT